TGCCCAAAGTAATTCTAAATCCACCTTGAACCCATCACCTGCCACACCTAATGCACACTTCACGTGTCCTGTTCCACCCTGACAAACTTCTCTGTTACTGCTGACTCCCTCATGCGGTACAACGGCTCCTCTTCTGGCACTCTGCCATATGTTTTCTCTAGATCCACAATGACGCAGTGCAACTCCAACTTCCAACCTTCTCTATACTTCTCCATGAACACTCTCCTCCCATCTGTAGTGTTCTTTCTCAGCAAGAAGCCAACTTCTTCTATCTTAAAGAACTCTTTCCCATAAAGCTTCGTGGCACGGTTCATCAGCTTTGTGCTTTTGTAGTTATTACAGCTCTGCACATCCCCCTTGTTCTCGATCATTTGTTTGTTATATTGTATCAAAAACTCTTCAGTTTACATATAGACATGACTCCCCAGCACGTTCTCATTCCCAGGACACAGAGCTGGTTCAGTGTCTCACAGATATATACACATGGATGCTTGTAATGGGCTGCTCAGCGTGACATTTGAAAGGAATAGGTACATTTTTCACTGTGCAGGGTTAATGCTGTAAAGAATCATACTTTCTCTTCCTAAACCTAACCATTTATTTTAGTGCTTAAAGCTAACCAAGCAGGCAAGTGGAAGCAAAATTAAAAAGGAAGCGACCGAAAATGAAGCAAAACAAAGTTTAAAGCACACCTTAACAGCAAACAACTTCTGGTTTGTCCTGCCACCACCCCCTCCATCTTCTAAATATGGACTTCATCGCTCTTGCTATGCTTCCTTTGTGCGATGCACCAAAGCGCCAGTGCTAAAGGGCACCTTTGCATATCCCAGCGATGCCATCAGCATCTGACAAAACAGCAGTATTTGAAGATGCAGCTGACTTTCCCCCCCCCACAATTTATGGAAGAGCTATCATTTAATGAAGTTAAGGTGGAATGGGCTTCCTATTCCCCCTTAAGAGCTAATAAAAAAGTTACAAAACTTTGCTGTTTTCGACCAGGAAAAAATAGATTATGGGATTTAATTGTTTTTCAGTTATTTTTTTTTGGGACATGACATAAGGTGATTTTAAAAATAAACAAATAAATAAATTAGAATTCTAGAATATCTATTTGGGTATAGTATATTGTTTTACCTTTATATTCTGGTCTTTGGACGACAAACCTGTGACTAATGATTTTTTTCAGATATGTGTTATTAGCAAAGCCTTTAGGTATCGACTCAATGGATTTGGCTTCATTATGTTACAGTGTGCTCTAAGAACTTCAGCTTTACTCGTCTTGTTGAAACACGATGCATATGAACCAAGTTTATTTTATGCAGTCAGTTTAAGTTACAGCCTTAAGTTAGCCTGCCAATAAATCGTCTCTCTTCTTGTGCACACTGTACCGATCAGACCTGCAACCCATAACTCTCATCATGTCTGTGGTCTGTTGGGCTGTGGCGTTTGACTGCCAGACAAAGATAGGGGAATGAGATTTTTATGTCCGTCTTAAACAGGAGGAGATATATCACTCCGACCCAGGTGTAAACACTGACTAACAGTCTATTTATCTCACAATCCAGAGAGACCCTGACCTCACTGCTTCCCAGCTCATAAAACAGACTCCCAAACCCAGAGGGGGGGGACGTGTACCTGATGTGTAGTGCTTAGATACTGTCACGACACAGGACACTGAATAGAACAAGAAAGATTCTGAGCTAAAAATAATAATCCTGTCTGGTACAAAGACTGGCACTGCAACAGAAGAAAGAACTGCTGACAGCTCAGACACCTGCACATCCAACTTGTTTATTGACTGACTTTGGATAATTGGTAATTCTAAAGACAGACTCTCAGCCTTGATTCTGAAGTCCTAACCAAAATTCCTGTTGATAGGAATCAAAAGTGACAGAATTATAACTGCACTGCAATGTCGTCAGCATTGTTACAATTATCCAGAAGAGTCACAATACAAAACCCGTCATCATCAAGCAAACATTTTCACACAAGTGAAGGAAACATTAGCATTAATTGTTTAAGGCGCAGTATCTGAGCTGATATTTTACTGAAGTGAGAACTGTGCTCCGTGTGTAAATGGGAGCAATTAAGTGCTGTGTTACTTTTGTTAAATCAGGAAGAATGGCCCTCATTTACCTACAGTGTGTTAATCTGTGTGCAAATTGCACATATTCAAGGTAGCTACATGTTTGTTGTATAAGAGAACAGAATCAACAGTGTCACTGTTTTATGAATGCTTATTTACAGATTTGCATGACAATGACTGTTTAGCAAAATGTATGAACAAACAAGAATGTAAAGGTAATGTACAAGATACAACAACATACATGTTGTATGATGTAGCGTAGATGCAATGTTGCCATTATTTTTGAGATCAGCTAGCAGACTTAGTAGAATCTGGATTTTTCTCTTTCTCTTTTTGTTTATCTTGGGCTGAAAGATCAGCTGTTCCCTATCCTCCACCAGCTCTCTTCTTTTTCTCATAGCCTGCTAGTCTTTATCAACTTTGACTCAAAAAGCTTTTTTTTTAAAAAAAACAACAAAAAAAAAACTCTTAGGGGAATCGATATTCAATATCCCCTTAATTTTAGCCTGTGTGCCACTTACGTATCAATTTAGATATGTTTCTCTCTTTCTCTTAGATAAATAAATTCCTTTGTCGCCCCAGAGGTCTTTATCCTTCAAGCTCGGGTCCTCGACCAGAGCCGTGGGAGCCTGAAGGACCTGTGCTGTCTTTGCTGTGTTCTAGGACTGCGCTCTTCTGGACAGAGATCTCAGATCTTGTTCCTGGGTTTTCCTGGAGCCACTCCCATAACTTTGGGGTCACCGCACTGAGTTCTCCGGTTACAACTGGGACCACTGTTACATTCACATCTTCTCAAGCTCTTCTCTGAGTCCTCGGTGCTTGAAGTTTCATATGGCCCTTCTTTCTGATGTTGCTATCCCTATGGCCATCTTCGCTTCAAGAGTTTCTGCTGCCTGAGGCACTAACCACATGGTCACTTGTGGCCAGGTTATTAGACGGCAGTTGGATGGGATTCTGGGAATCCTTGGGGATCAGGACTGTCCAGCCTTAAGTTAGCCTCTCATCGAGCAGCTGGTTCATTTGTGCTGCAAAATGCTCATGGAGTGTTGTCATCTTCTTCAGCTAGTAGGTGTGAAACATGGAAGCACGTGGAAAACACTATGCAAAGATGCCCCTTTTACTGTCTTCCCCCTCGACACTACTATTTAAATTTCCACACGGGCATTTGTAAATGAGGACAAATGTTTCTACTCTTGTAATTTTGCACCTGTATCTCTGTCAGGTAAATGTCCTAAACCCGTAATGTGGCAAATATAGGAAGAGTCAAACTGTATTCTTCCTGACTCATCAGCCAATTAAAATTCAATTGAGAGCCCCTTTAAAAAAGTCTTATCTGTTATTACATCATTTCCTCTGTTTCTGTTAGTCCTTTTTGTGTTGTTTAAGAATCACCAGCAAGCCAAATAAACAAGCAAGTGTGGCGTTTTCTCTCTTCTCAGTAAAGATATTGGGGGGAAAAAAGAAACAATTCTATTAAAAATATATGTTTTGAATGTTTTAAAAATGTCATTTGGAATCTAACAAAGGCAAATTCATTAACCTTCGCTCCTCAGGCGTGTTAACAGGTATAATAAGATGCTTATCTATAAAAACTAATAACACAAATGCTAATTATCTGTTTATCAGCCAGTGATGTAACGCTGGAAACGCTGTTCCAGTAAACCTCCAGAAAACAACGTTGACACATGAAGGCTTTGCCATTGTGTTTACTTGCTGTCAACACACTGCAGGCGCACAGCCACCTAATTAACATCTATGTCCTGTAACTGTGCCAATGTGTGTGTGTTTTATTCTCATTCCGATAGTGGGGGAAACAAAGCAAACTAACAACAAAAGGAAAGTATTTTGGCCAGAGGCATCAATCGCTCTGCCATGATACAAAAAAGAAAAAAAAAGGAAGTATTCTCAGCATCTGAGGCCAAAGCTGGTTAAAAACAAATAAGTAAACAAAAAAAGAGGGATGGTCTCACATGAATGTGAGCAATAATGACACACTGACAGCTCCAATTTATATGGCTAATAACCGTGTCACAGCATCATGGAGCCTGCCTGGTGAATTATAGCCCCTGTAGACTCTATCGCTGCCATTTTTCCTAAAGCCTCCCCGAGGAGCATCCTCGTCGGCTGCATTCTTCTCCCCAAGGCCAGCGCGGAAGACGAGGAGGAGGAGGAGGAGGCTCGCAGATATGTGGAGAGTTACAGCAGAGGGTTGCGGACTGCTTGCCTTTTATGTCTCTAACGGTTGTTTTAAAGACAGACCGATGGGTGCGATGAGAGCTGGGGAGGAGGAGACGTGGAGGGAGGCGGTGTTTAGCGAACACCTCTCTGGAGAAAAGCGGTTGAGTTATGGAGTGTGGTGGGGACTGGATACAGCTTGCACCTCTCCACGATGGGCGGATAAATGATGGGATGGAAATCTACAACTGCGGCCTCGACGGCGAGGCGTGGGAGGTCAAAACGCTCTTCTATACCACAATCTTTTTCTCTCTCTGGGACTCACTGGTGATCTACAGTGGGGCAAAAAAGTATTTAGTCAGCCACCGATTGTGCAAGTTCCCCCACTTAAAATGATGACAGAGGTCAGTAATTTGCACCAGAGGTACACTTCAACTGTGAGAGACAGAATGTGAAAAAAAATCCATGAATTCACATGGTAGGATTTGTAAAGAATTTATTCGTAAATCAGGGTGGAAAATAAGTATTTGGTCACCTCAAACAAGGAAAATCTCTGGCTCTCACAGACCTGTAACGTCTTCTGTAGGAAGCTTTTCTGTCCCCCACTCGTTACCTGTATGAATGGCACCTGTTTGAACTCATCATCTGTATAAAAGACACCTGTCCACAGCCTCTGTCACGGTCGGACGGCCCTTTCCGGACGACCCTGCTTGTGTTTATGTTTTCTGTATGTGTTTGCTTCTCCCTCCCTGGTCCTCGGGGTTGTTTACGGAAGTGCGCGCCGTGGGAGAGGCGTGTCCTGGCGACTGTCGTCATTGGGAGTCCCCCTTCGCTGTTGCCAGCCCACCTGCAGCTGATTACCTGACCAGTGGTTGGTAATCATTCCTCCAGGCTAGAAAGGGGTATTTAACCTGGACTCACGGCGACAGTCGACGTGGGATTATTACTCCGAACTGGTACAGTCTGTGCGAGCAGTGTGAGTGTGTTATTCGGCTAGCGTGTGGCTAACGCTGGATTTTCCTTCTTCCTCCAGGAGGGGCGAGCGGAGAAGCGAGTTGGGGAGCACACACACGAAGGGAGTTACTACACGGAACGCACTGGGAGCAAGGGACGAGCACGATTGGAAAATTGCACTTTTGAATGGATTGTTGGACTTGTCTGTTTCACTGTAAATAAACGCACTGTGTTTCTGTGAGCAAGAACCGCGCCTGGGTCCCTCTTTTCCGTGACAGAATAATCCCACCACCATGGACCCAGCGGATTCTGCTTCACGCCAGCTGTCTATCCAAGCGGAGGTTTTGGAGCGACACGAGGAAATGCTGAAGCACGTTTCAAAGGAACAAACCGCGCTTCTGCAAGCCATGACAGAGCTTAAAGGTATGTTGATTTCCTCACCTAATACGGCTCCAACGCAGCCCGCCCCTTCGCTGGAAGCCGCGGCAGCCTGTCCGCTTCCTCCTTCACCTCCACCGCGGCAGCGGGAGTACTCACTCCCCGCACCCGAAAAATTTGATGGCGAGTTGGGGAGGAGCCGGGGTTTTTTGACGCAATGCTCCCTTGTGTTTAGACAGCAACCTTGTGCCTTCGCCTCTGATTCTACCAAAATCGCTTATTTGGTGCAACTTATGACTGGGCGGGCGCTTCAATGGGCTCAGGCAGTTTTAAATACCCAGCCCTCTGTGTCATATGACGTCTTTCTCAGCAAGTTTCGCTGTGTGTTTGATAAAGGCGCTAGCTCGGATGCTGCAGGTCATCGCATGTTTTCTCTGAAGCAAGGTAGGAGGAGTGTTGCTGACTTTTCCGTGGAGTTCTGGATCCTGGCGGAGGAGTCGGGCTGGGAGGAGAAAGCACTGCGTGGAGCCTTCCTCAACAGCCTTAATGAGAATATTAAGCGTGAGTTAGCAACCAAGGAACTGCCTAAAGCTTTGTCTGCTCTAATCAATATGTGTATTAACTTAGACGACCACATGCGGGAGTTCGGCAGAAGAGCCGGGGATGGTCGGCGGCCTGCTGGGGGCACGGGTACATCTAGGGACCGTCCTACTCTGATGTGGAGAAGTGAGGAGGAGGAGCAACACGGGGATGAAGAGCAACCCATGCAGCTCGGCGGAGCCAAGCTTTCCTCCTCTAGACTGGGGCGCAAACAACGGACTGGTGAGTGCTTTCTTTGTGGAAAAAGAGGACATTTTGTTGACTCCTGCCCAGACCGAGTAAAAGAGTCGGCCCGTCAGTAATGGTGGGGATACTGGCGGGCGCCACAACAAAAGTGTTCCCTCACCTCAGCTGCCCTGCTAAATTAATGTCTCATTCCCTCACTCACTCCTGCTGCGCACTCATTGACTCTGGTTCTGAACAAAATTTCCTAGACGAGGAGTTAGCCAACATCTTAGGCCTGCCCCTACTTCCCCTTCCAGAGGTCCTGAAGGTCTCAGCCTTAAATGGCGGCCATCTAGCCTCCGTCACACATCGCACTCAGGAGATTACACTCATTATTTCGGGAAATCACTCTGAGAAAATCAGTTTGTTGGTATTCAAAGCCCCCCACACCCCACTGGTACTGGGATTTCCTTGGCTCCAACATCACAACCCCCAAATCGACTGGGCCAAAGGGTGTGTAACTGGCTGGAGCACGCGGTGTCATGAACAATGTTTACTTGCCGCTGTCCCGGACAATCCTGGGACCGCCTCTGCGAGAAGCTCCTCACCCCCCGACCTTTCCTTGGTGCCCGCCGACTACCACGACCTCGGCCAGGTATTCAGCAAAAGTAAGGCGTTGTCTTTGCCTCCACATCGGCCTTACGACTGTGGAATCGACCTACTCCCAGGCGCTCCCCTGCCAGCAAGTCGGCTCTACAGTCTGTCTAAACCGGAACGCGAGGCCATGGAATGCTACATAACGGAGTCTCTGGTCGCAGGTATTATTCGCCCATCTACTTCGCCTTTAGCAGCAGGATTCTTCTTTGTAAAGAAGAAAGATAAGAGCCTGCGTCCCTGCATTGACTTTCGAGGGCTGAACAAGATCACTGTTAGGAATAAATAGCCACTCCCCCTGCTGGCCTCGGCATTCGAACTATTACAGGGGGCAGTCCTGTTCACCAAACTGGATCTTCGGAGTGCCTATCATCTGGTTCGCATCCGCAAGGGTGACGAGTGGAAGACGGCTTTCAACACCCACCTGGGGCACTTCGAATACTTAGTGATGCCCTTCGGTCTCACTAACGCCCCCGCGGTCTTCCAGGCCCTGATTAATGATGTGCTCAGGGACTTTATTAACCATTTTGTCTTCGTGTATCTGGATGACATTCTGATTTTTTCCAGGTCGCAGACTGAGCACATCAACCATGTACGTCTGGTTCTACGGCGCCTATTGGAGAACCGCCTTTTTGTGAAAGCGGAGAAATGTGAGTTCCATGTGGAAACTGTTTCTTTTCTGGGTTTCATTGTGGAACAGGGGCGTTTGCGAGCTGACCCGGCCAAAGTCAAAGCCGTAGTGGAATGGCCTATTCCCAAGACCCGCAAGGAGGTGCAGAGGTTCCTGGGCTTCGCCAATTTCTACCGCCGCTTTATCAGGGATTTCAGCAAGGTAGCCCTTCCTCTAACCAACCTAACTTCTCCTAAGTTGTCTTTCCAGTGGGCCTCCGCAGCCCAGCAAGCGTTTGATCGGCTCAAGCACCTGTTTTCCTCGGCTCCGGTCCTCGTCCAGGCGGACCTCGGCCGGCCTTTCGTCGTCGAGGTGGACGCGTCCGATTCGGGCGTGGGGGCGGTTCTCTCCCAACGGATCGACGGCAAGTTGCATCCCTGTGCGTTCTTCTCCCGCAGGTTGTCTCAGGCCGAGAGAAATTACGACGTGGGCGACCGGGAGTTGCTCGCCATCAAGTGGGCCCTTGAGGAATGGCGACATTGGCTGGAGGGCACTGAGCAGCCTTTCGTGGTGTGGACGGACCACAAAAATCTGGCGTATCTCCAGGCAGCCAAGCGCCTCAACGCCCGACAAGCCAGGTGGGCCTTATTTTTTACTCGTTTTCACTTCTCCATTACTTACAGGCCCGGTTCTAGGAACACTAAACCAGACGCGTTGTCGCGCCAGTTCGCACCCGTGACCGATGAGGACGAGAAGGAAAAACCCATCCTGCCCCCCACCTGCATTGTGGGTGCACTAACTTGGGAGATTGAAAAGGTGGTCAGGGACGCCCAGCGACAGGAGCCCGACCCTGGCACGGGCCCGAAAGGGAGACTATATGTTCCGGCCACAGCGCGTAGTCAGGTCATTCACTGGGCACATACTGCCAAGTTTTCGTGCCACCCAGGTAAAAATCGCACGGTCTCTTTTCTACGACGTTTGTTTTGGTGGCCCTCTCTTGTTCTCGATGTCCAGAACTATGTTGCGGCATGCCCGGTGTGCGCACGGAACAAAACCACCAACTCGCCTGCTTCTGGCCTCCTGCGACCGTTACCCACTCCAAAACGCCCATGGTCGCACATCGCCCTGGACTTCGTCACCGGCTTGCCTCCCTCTGCAGGTAACACCTCCATTCTAACCATTATTGACCGTTTTTCCAAGGCTGCCCACTTCATTGCTCTGCCCAAGCTCCCTTCTGCCTTGGAGACGGCCCAGTTACTGACGCAGCATGTGTTTCGGCTCCACGGCATACCCCAGGACATCGTTTCCGACCGTGGCCCTCAGTTCACCTCGCGGGTTTGGAAGGAGTTCTGTGCAGAATTGGGAGCTCAGGTCAGTTTGTCCTCCGGGTTCCACCCCCAAACTAATGGTCAGACCGAAAGGGCCAATCAGGAGCTGGAGGCCATGTTGCGTTGCGTCGCATCATCGAACCAAGCGACCTGGAGCGAGCAGTTGGCCTGGGTGGAGTATGCCCACAACGCCAGCACGTCATCAGCGACTGGACTCTCGCCCTTCGAGGCGTCGCTGGGGTATCAACCCCCTCTCCTCTCAATCTCTGAGGGAGAGCTGGCGGTTCCCTCGGTCCAGCACCACCTTAGGCGCTGTCGTCGGGTCTGGCGGGCCACGCGCGCAGCACTCCTGAGAACGGCCGAGCGGAACAAGGCATTGGCGGATCGCCGTCGCACTCCTGCTCCGGATTATCAGGTCGGCCAGCGGGTGTGGCTCTCCAGCAAGCACATCCCTCTTCGGACTGAGTCCAAGAAACTGGCCCCCCGGTCTCTTGGCCCCTTTGCCATCCAGGAGGTCCTGAACCCGGTGACGGTCCGGCTGGCCCTTCCGCCTGCTATGAAGGTACATAACGTCTTCCATGTTTCTCAGGTTAGGCCCGTCCGGACCAGCCCTTTGTGCCCGCCCCTGGGCCCCCGCCACCCGCCCGGATTATCGACGGCGCCCCGGCGTATTCCATTACTCGCATAATGGATGCCCGGCGCCGCGGTAGGGGCTTTCAGTTTTTGGTGGATTGGGAGGGGTACGGTCCGGAAGAACGTTCTTGGGTGCCGCGGTCTGCCATTCTCGATCATCGCATGGTGAGGGAATTCCGCCGCCGGCATCCGGACAAGTTTGCCAGGTCGCCCGGAGGCTCCCGTTAGAGGGGGGGTACTGTCACGGTCGGACGGCCCTTTCCGGACGACCCTGCTTGTGTTTATGTTTTCTGTATGTGTTTGCTTCTCCCTCCCTGGTCCTCGGGGTTGTTTACGGAAGTGCGCGCCGTGGGAGAGGCGTGTCCTGGCGACTGTCGTCATTGGGAGTCCCCCTTCGCTGTTGCCAGCCCACCTGCAGCTGATTACCTGACCAGTGGTTGGTAATCATTCCTCCAGGCTAGAAAGGGGTATTTAACCTGGACTCACGGCGACAGTCGACGTGGGATTATTACTCCGAACTGGTACAGTCTGTGCGAGCAGTGTGAGTGTGTTATTCGGCTAGCGTGTGGCTAACGCTGGATTTTCCTTCTTCCTCCAGGAGGGGCGAGCGGAGAAGCGAGTTGGGGAGCACACACACGAAGGGAGTTACTACACGGAACGCACTGGGAGCAAGGGACGAGCACGATTGGAAAATTGCACTTTTGAATGGATTGTTGGACTTGTCTGTTTCACTGTAAATAAACGCACTGTGTTTCTGTGAGCAAGAACCGCGCCTGGGTCCCTCTTTTCCGTGACAGCCTCAAACAGTCAGACTCCAAACTCCGCCATGGCCAAGACCAAAGAGCTTTCGAAGGACACCAGGAAAAGTATTGTAGACCTGCACCAGACTGGGAAGAGTGAATCTACAATAGGCAAGCAGCTTGGTGTGAAAAAATCAACTGTGGGAGCAATCATCAGAAAATGGAAGACATACAAGACCACTGATAATCTCCCTCGATCTGGGGCTCCACGCAAGATCTCATCCCGTGGGGTCAAAATGATCATGAGAATGGTGAGCAAAGATCCCAGAACCACACGGGGGGACCTGGTGAATGACCTGCAGAGAGCTGGGACCAAAGTAACAAAGGTCACCATCAGTAACACACTACAACGGCAGGGAATCAAATCCCGCAGTGCCAGACGTGTTCCGCTGCTGAAGCCAGTGCATGTCCAGGCCCGTCTGAAGTTTGCCAGAGAGCACATGGATGATACAGCAGAGGATTGGGAGAATGTCATGTGGTCAGATGAAACCAAAGTAGAACTTTTTGGTATAAACTCAACTCGTCGTGTTTGGAGGAAGACGAATACTGAGTTGCATCCCAAGAACACCATACCTACTGTGAAGCATGGGGGTGGAAACATCATGCTATGGGGCTGTTTTTCTGCCAAGGGGACAGGACGACTGATCCGTGTTAAGGACAGAATGAATGGGGCCATGTATCGTGAGATTTTGAGCCAAAACCTCCTTCAATCAGTGAGAACTTTGAAG